AGTAATAGTAGTAGTAGTAGTACTACTACTACTACTACTACTACTACTACTACTAGTACTAGTAATACTAGTAATGCTAGTAGTGCTAGTAGTACTAGTAGTACTAGTAGTAATTAGTCGTCGTCGTAGTAGTAGCAGCAGTCGCAGTAGTAATAGTAGTAGTAGTAGTAGTAGCAGCAGCAGCAGCAGCAGAAGTAGCAGCGGCAGCGGTAGCAGCCGTAGGAGCAGTAGCAGTAGCATTGGCGGTGGTAGTGACCCGGTAGTGGTCGTAGGGGCGGCAGTAGCAGTGGCAGCAGCAGCGGCACTGGCTCTGGTATTGGTTTTGGTAGTCGTAATGGTAGCGGTAGTGGTAGTGGTAGCTGCTGTTGTTGTTCAAGGTGTTCAAGCAAACCATATCGGATTTATCACATATTGATAAACACATGGCTACATAATCAAATCTGTATCTATATATAGTGGATTTATACGTGTGTGTCTATATACATACACCGACAGAGAAAAAGTATACACATGAAAAACAAGAAACAGAGAGAGCGAGAGAGAGACAGGCAGAGAGACAGAGAGAGCATGAGCGCACAAAGTGTATACATACGATATGAAGATATAATATGTACATCTACCTATAATGTCAACATAGCATGCATTAGAGATGGTTGTGCACATGCCAAGCTTTGTGACAAACCAGAGGTTGGGGGGCACCCCACCCAATGATCCTATCATGCCGCATTATTCTCATTGTCAATGTCCGCGACCAGCAGTGCAGAAGACACTCCGTTCCACAGCGTGCAGTGAGCATGTACTGAATCCGGCCCATGCGAAACTAAGCTCAACTGCTGACTTCAGGTCAAGCAGCCAGGTTCACCTTTACGTCGCGGCACTTGCCGCTATGTCTGGCCATCTTGTACACTGCCAGCCTCCGGTTGTCCAAAGTCACCCACAGGCCGCCCTTCTGCACCACCCGCATCATCGGAACCTCGCGCTTCTGCATGCCCTCAGATATCTGCTCGTACGTCTCGAAGATGGACGTGCCGTCCTCCACGGCAACATGCTAACTCAATTCTTCTGGGCTACTCTCTCGAACCCTGACGAGTCTGTTTGAAAGCATGGACAAGGGAAAGACGTAGAAGCAAATCACCAACGCCCTCCTTTGAACTCCCAGTTCCAAAAAAAATCCATGTGCTCACTATAGTTATGCTCGAGCGCAGCACGGAAGCGGAGCCCGGCAGCAAGCGACGACGACGACTACTACTTCTTTGACGGCGATGACAACGACGAGTGTTGACAACACAACGTCGAACTTTGCGGTCAGACATGTTTCAACCTGGATTCTCACCATCCTTGGCCCAAAACTGAACTGATGCCTGTCTTGAGATGTTCAAGCGGGCAAATCTTTGGTGCTGGACACAACAAATTAAGTGACACACATACCAAGTCCTTGAAGGACTCTCCAATGTTGCCCTGAGAGAAGCGGATGGTAAGCGGATCAAGCATCTTCTCCATGGCTGCGTCTCTCGGAACTATCTCGAGCTGGGCCAATGATAAACAGCTCTGTCGGGAGTTGTCACAGAAAGACAAAACACAAAAACGAATAGACTGCATGGAGCAATGCCAAGCCTCCAAAAAAAACTCGAAACGTGCCTCAGCTCAGCAAACCCATTTCGACACATCAAAGGAACCATGATTATCAGCGAAGCCTCTGTCAATTGAATCCATGAAACATAAGCCGAACCTGCCTCGACCCTAAACCCTCAACACCATAATCCCGAAATCCTATTAACCCAAACCCCTAAAGACCCAGAGCCCTGTAAACCCTGAACCCTGTAAATCCTAAGCCCGATATACCATTTACCCTATAAGCCCTGAACCCTCGAAACTCGAAAACCTCAACCCAAACCGCAAAGCTCTGCAATGCTCGTCTGAGATCGGCGGCGCAGCGAGGTGCCAGCAGGCGCCTCTTTATGGGCATTATTTAAAAAGGCTTAGGGTTAAGGGCTGAGTATCAAAATTGCAGGGTTGAGGGTTTAGGGTTTTAGGATTATCAGAAGCTCAGGGAGAAATAAGCTGAGAATCAACGGTTTAGAAATGTGGGGTGTGTCAAGGCTTAGGGCTTAAGGGGCTGAGGTCCAGGCATGTTGGGGGTTAACAAACACTGCGTTGGTTGAATTTGCTCTCTCAGGGACTGTGCAGACAACACCACAGCATTTCCTGAGGTTCAGGCGTAGGCTTCATAATGCGACAAGGCCAGAAAGCTGGTCTAAGGTCAATCTAGTATATAGGGGCCTTAGCAATTAGAATAAGGTTTTGGGGTCCGTTCTAGTATAATCATAATAAGGAAACCCCAAAATACTGTAGGTAATTCTTTCGGCCCCTATATTAGGTTTGAGGCTCACACTCTTCAGGTTGTACAGCTGAGGCGCAGGTCTGGTTGAAACCTCACAGCGGGCTTGAGTACTAGAATCGGCTCTTGTTCAGGGACTTAGTTTAAGTTACCATGATAGGGATCTTTAGTAGATAATGTGGTTTCCTTAATTTTTTTACTTGATGATAAGTTAAAACCCGTAACAAGAATCCAGTAGATGCAGCCCCAAAGCCCGGACTCCATCAGACTGACAGTACTTAGCCCACAGCCCCTTACAGACATTAATCTTCGTTGGTGTCAACCGAGGTCCGATTTCGTTTTGAGGCTGGTGCGGTTTGGCTGCTGGGCATGCAGCCGCGAATGTGAAGGGAAACACTACAGAGCATAAACCCTAAACCCTAAACTCCTAAACCCGAAACCCTTAATTAATTGACCAACTGCCCTAAACCCTAAACTAAACCCTAAACCCGAAACCCTTAAGTTACCAACTGCCCTAAACCCTAAACTAAACCCTGAACCCGAAACCCTTAATTCACCGACTGCCCGGAACACTGAACTAAACCCTAAACCCGCAACCCAGGCTTTCTGAGGTGACCACGCTGCCGGCGCGAAGAAGAACTGCGCCTCCCTGACCTGCGAGCTTTCCCGAGGGCCATTTATTGCCGTGTATTGGGGTTAGGGTTTATAGGGGCTTTGGGTGTAAGGTTTAGGGTGTTTTGAAGGGCTTTAAGGGTTTAGGGTTTCGGGGCTTAGGGCTCAAGGTTTAGGGTTTTTGAACGGCTTTCTATTGCTGGGCGTAGGAATGAGAGCGAGAGAGCGATGCACAGCTGGAGGGCTTCTGGAGAAGACATAATATGGGGGCCTCAAAATAATTAGGATAGGGCTTTGGGTTCCATTATTCGGTAATCATAGGAAGGAACCCCAAAGTGGTATTGGTAAATAGGTAATGACTTAAGCCCCTATATTACAATACTTGTTCAATCCCTGAGTCACAGGCGCGTAGAAGCATGGTGGCCGGTTCCTCTACAGGGGGCACGGCTTCAAGGAAATAAAACCTTACAGTGCTACAGACGGGGATGCCGGCAGGTGTGGGAGAGTTGTTCATGCTCTGCGCGTGCTGTCCTCATGGACAACCTTAATCTGCCTGTGTACATAGAACCCACATATACATAGAGACGATCGCCAGAAAGAGGCCCAGAAGAGGAAAACCCTAAACACTAAACCCCTAAACCCCTAAACCCTAAACCCCTAAACCCCTAAACCCCTAAACCCGTAAATTCCACAAAATTCATGGCTGCCTCCCTCGTCGGCGATCGCTGTGGTCGTCCCATCGGCAGCCGTGGCATGACTGCAGCTCCCCAGGGTTTGGAGTTTGGGGATTTAGGGTTTAAGGGTTCAGGGTTCAGGGTTTAAGGGTTCAGGGTTTAGGGTTCAGGCTCGGAGTTCGCGGGGGTTCAAAACCAAAGCTCCAACTGGCTCAGGGTTTAGGGTTTGGGGTTTAGGGTTTAGGCTTTTGGGTTTAGGGTTTGCGGTTTAGGGTTTAGGGTCTACGGTTTAGGGTTTAGGGTCTCCGGAGTCTACGGTTTTGGGTTTAGGGTCCGCGGTCTAGGGCTTAGGGGAAGCTGGCCACGGTTTCGGCACGAGCTGATGTAGTATCCAGAGTATGGAGGGCAAGTGTTCATACCAGCTCAAAGCCCAGGAAAGGGCAGAGGCTGCTATTTGAAGACCTGCGGATTTTAGCACTTCACGATTTGTGTTGGTTTCAAGATTGGCTTTGCTACCCGGTCCGGAAAGAGTCTTAGGACTTACGGTTGAGGGTTCTGGCTCTTAGGCTCGACATGCGTCTATGCACTTTCAGGTTGTCGAGTTTATGTTGCTGGCGCCTGTTGGCTTTATGGGCAAGTCCTCGGGCATTCAGCAAGGTACTTGTACGAGGGTCTACGACAGCTCGCCCTACTTATGACACGTGTGGCTAGGGAAATCACGAGTGGCGATGTTCCTCAGTCACCCGAACAGCACGATACGTAGGCAGCCGCGGTGCTGTTGTCGGTGGTGAAGAAGACGACACGCCCATCATCAGTACTCCCATTACCCCAACAAGCACCACCATCGCAACCCTACGTCAACACCACCACCCGTAAATCTGCAAAGTCTAAACCCTAAACCCTAAACCCTAAACCGCCACCTCTAAACCCGAAGTGCTACACCCCTGGCTCTCGAACCCCTCGGCTTCTGCCAGGCTCCTGAGAGCGACAAGGCGAGGGGGCTGCAGAACCTCAGGTCTCACGTCGGCGGGCTTCTTTTTTTGGGAGGGAGGGGGGTGGGGTGGTATGCAAGAAGTGTATAAAAGGGTTGATAAAGAACAACAAAAAAAACAAAAAACATGTTGCCTCGGGGTTCGCGTTCGTAGCTCATGGCGTTGCCTACGAGCCGCACTACTCGCCCTGCAGTTTGTTTGAGGGTTTAGGGTTTAGGGTTTAGGGTTTAGGGTTTAGGGTGTCCTAGAGTTTGGAGCCTTGGGCTGAAGGTCTTGAGGCTAGATTCTTCAAGACAGCTGCAGCACTTGTCGACATGGGTGGTTGTCAAAATTCGGGTCCCTTTTTGGGTACCCTAAATATTAGGTGTCGTATTATATTCCGGACCCATAAAGGGACCATAATTTTGACAACCACCCACATGACCACAAGAAAACCGCATGATCCAAATCACCCCCGAAAGTCGCAGAATCGAAGGCTTTCGGGCCAGCCTCCTGTTGGTAACGGATCAGTCCGTGTGTCTCGAACCCTACCAACCCTTACACCTAAAGACCCGAAAAGGGCACCTAAGCCCCAAACCCTAAACACCCAGAAGCCCTCAACCCTTGACCTGAATCAACCCTAAACCCTCAACCCACAAGAACCAAAGCAAGAGTGATGTACCTAAACCCTGAACCCGTAACCCTGAAAGACCCCAAAGATAGAACCCTTCTAGAAGTCCCCTCTGAAGATGCCTTAACGGAACCCCATAAAGCCCTAGTCATTTATGCCCCAAAGGGTACCGAGAGGAAAGCTGCAGGGCTCCCGACCGAAAATCCTCCAACGGAATGCAGGTGACCCCCCGGCTCCGCTGTGGAGTACCTCAAGTGTTGTTGAACCGATTACGGGTTTGGGGTTTAGGGCTTACGGTTTAAGATTCAGGGTCTGGTTTAAAGGTGGTGGGTGTTGGGGTTTGTCATAATTTACAAGGTTGTTGAGCTGCTTCTTCTTTTGTCAGACTCTTGCTGCATGAATCCCTATCAACCCTAAGCCCCAAACCCCTAGCCCCGAAACGCTGAACCCTCAACCTCGGCACCCCTCGTCAGGTTTGGAGCTTGGGGCTTACGGTCCTGCATGTACGAGTGGAGCGTTTCCGGCACCCTCGTTTAGAGAAAGCCCTTTCATGAAGACTTCAAGGTTTAACGGCCTGGGGTTCCGGATGCAGAGTGAGGGTCTAGAGTGCAGGGCTTTGGGCTTAAGGTCCCGCTTGAAAATTACGTGGCTTTGAACGCAAGGCTGGTCAGGGTTAATGTAGGGGCCTTAATATTTAGAATAGGGTTTTGGGGCCCATTATACTACAAGTATAACAAGGAACCCCCAAAATCATAGCGGTAA